CTTTACTATCTGTGTCCATTCCTTTCAGCTCATGGTTCTCAGACCTGGAATCACATAGGAAATTTTCCAAAAATGCACATGCCTCACTCCTAGAAATTCCTGTTCTGAAAATCTGACCTGGTAAATTTAACTCAGAAGATTTTAATTTTTAAAAAGGTTTATTTTTTTTCCTAACTTTTTCATGATCAATTTATATTTGTTAGATTTGGGTGATATAAGGGTTTTCAGTAACAGAATGCATGCTGAATCAATGAGTCATACATAGTAAAACTTTGTTAGGTAAGATGGATTTTGATACATATTATGGGGGACACATATGTCCCACTGGTCTCCGGAAGTAGGATGGGTGGGATGAGTCATGAGAAAAATTGTTTATTCTAAGCAAATTTATTTTATTGTTTGGAAACATGGAACAACACATAAAGGTACCTTGCAATGGCTGCACATAATTATTTGAGTCTTCTGATGGTATAGTGGTTAAGACATTTGACTGCTAAACAGAAAGCTGGTGACTCAAATCCATCAGCCACTCCTCAGAAGGAAGATTGGGCAATCTACTTCTGTAGAGATACCACCTGGGAAACCCAAGGAGGGGTTGCTATGAGTCGAAATACACTCGATGGCAGTGAGATTTTGTTTTCAGTGCTGCATTCCCTGCATCACATTCTAGATCTCTTGACAGGTAAATGCTCTCCAATCTATTAGAGCTGTTGGCACCCTGCTTACTAGTGGCTTGTTCTTCACAAGAAAGGAAGATCTTCCTATTCTTTTGAACTCTAGGTCCACAGTAGGCTGCCTAATGAGAACAAGCCTGAAGGGTGAAGGAAGCTAGTCACATCTGCTCCGACCCCCTCCCACCCCCAGTTGTTACAGGATGCTGTGAAAAAAAAATTAGCACAGTGTACTTGGGAAAACCCCAGGGAGGGGGGGGGGAGTTTGAGTATAGATATGCTATTGAGCCTGAAAATAATTTACTTGAAAATTCTATCACTACCAAAACCACAACTTCCAAATAACACAAAGTGAACCAAACACATACTTACAAACTTACTTCGCTGTACAAAAGGCAAAAAAGTTTTATACATTCACAACTTTGGGATGTATACCCTCATTCAGTACCCTCTGAATACCATGATTTAATTCCACTGAACCTTCCAGTTTTAAACAATCAGTTAGACGTATCCCTGCCAGATACCAGCATGTACTGTAACTGGAAGACTAACATCCCAAGAAGGAGCTCTGGTAGTATAGTGCCTAAGGCACTTGACTGCTAACCAGAAGGCTGCGGTTCAAACCCACCAACCACTCCTCAGAAGGAAGGTTGGGCAATCTACTTCCGTAGTTGTTCTGGTTACCTAGTGCCACTCTAGGAGCTCTGGTAGCATAGTGCCTGAGGCACTTAACTGCTAACCAGAAGGCTGGAGGTTCAAACCCACCAGCCACTCCTCGGAAGGAAGGTTGGGCAATCTACTTCCGTAGTGATACTGCCTCGGAAACCCAAGGAGGGGTCGCTATGAGTCGGGTCCGACTGGAAGGCACATAACAACAACAACAACAACAGTGCCACTCTGACAAGAAATAATATCATAAATGGGATGGCTTAAACAAACAGTTTATTCTTACAATTTGGAAGCTTTAAGTCCAAGTTCAAAGTGCCAAGTTCTAGGGGCTGGATGAAAGGCCCTCAGCCTTGGGCTTTAGCTCTGCTTCCAGCTCCCGGTCCACTGAACCTAGAGGCTTTTCTTCACTCAGACAGCTGTTGGCTACTGGGGCTGCCAAGCCCAAGATTGACAAGTAACAAGGCACAGTCCTGATATTACCAAATCACACAGCAGGCCATTAATTCAAGTCCATTGTAAGTCCCAAGATCGGCAGAGCACGGCAGGGTGCTAAACGATGACACGGCTACATGCAGGGTTCAAGGTGCCATAAGTTAGAGACCATGCCCAAGGCTTCTCCTTATATACAGGAAGCAGACCACATCCCAAAGGCAGCTACTCAGCTGCTTGTGGTAGATCCCACCATAGAGTTGATTGCCGGTCTCATCATGGGGAATAACTACCACCAGCCGCCCAGCCACTCAACCAGGCCCAGCCAAGCTGACACATAAACTTAACCACCACGGTAGTGATAACACCTCGGAAACCCAAGGAGGGGTTGCTATGAGTTTAGTCCAACTTGACAGCACATAACAACAACAACAACGTCCCAAGATACAAGAGAGGCAAAAAATATAAGTGTACCATACATGTCCCACCAGTCATGAAAAGTTACAGTATCCAATAATACAGTGATAAAAGGAGCCCTAAGTGGCACAGTGGTTAAATGTTTGACTGCTAACCAAAAAGTCAGCTGTTCAAACCCACCAGCCCTCCATGGGAGAAAGTTGTGGCAATCTACTCCTATAAAGACTGGAGCCTTGGAACTACCCTATGGGGTAGTTCTGCTCTGTCCTGTGGGGTCTCTATGAGTCAGAGTTGACTCTATGGCAGCAGGTTTGATAGATAGATAGATAAAAAGAGTCAATCCCAGGGTAGTGCAAACATTTAAGTGCTTGGCTGCTAACTGAGTGGTTGGTGGTTTGAGTCCACCAAAAGGCATATAAAAAAAAAAAAATCTGGTGATCTGCTTTCAAAAATTCAGCCATTGAAAATCCTTTGAAACACAATTCTACTCTGACACAAATGGAATTGCCATGAGTCAATTG